TTGATACTTTTCCTTTACTTACTATTTTTTCAAAATGAGTTGTTTTGGCACCCACGGAGTATGGTAAATTCTTTTTATTTAGGTATTAACTTGTACTCATGAATTTTAACATTGGATGTTGCAAACCTTTACAGCAGTAGCCTTATTGATGCTCAAATGGTCATATTTTTGGCCTTTTTCATATGACTGCTCATTCTTTTTGACATGACACTACTGATTTTCATGGGTTCTTTGTTCTCCACATACAGAGATTTTGCAGGCTCATCTTGTACACTTTCTGCCTTAGACCTGAAGTCAGCCATTTCTATAAGGAACAGTGGCTCCTTAGATGGTCATTGCTTCTGTTTCAGTTGTTGCTTTTCAGTGGACAGCACTGAAATGTATGTTTTGTTTTTATGATAAAGTGCATTATTATCATACTGACACTTCTGGTTCAAATTTGGGACTTTCAGGTTTTTATCTTTTCTCTCTTAAATCTCTCAAGGACATCAGCTTGATGGGATTCAACTATCAAAATTGCTTACCTGTATCTCACTTTACGTATATCAAAAAAAACAATACTAAGACCACAACCAACAATGTGATTATTAAAAAACAGTTTAAAATACTTTTTTAGCAGGGCGCCTGGGTGGCTCAGTCGTTAAGCGTCTGCCTTTGGCTCAGGTCGTGATCCCAGCATGCTGGGATCGAGCCCCACATTGGGCTCCCTGCTCAGCGGGGAGCCTGCTTCTCCCTCTCCCACTCCCCCTGCTTGTGTTCCCTCTCTTGCTGTGTCTCTCTCTGTCAAATTAATAAATAAAGTCTTAAAAAAAAATACTTTTTTAGCTTTGCTTTTGTTTTTGTCTGTAGGCTATATCCTAGTAAGGATATATATTTAAATCCCAGAACGTTCAAGTCACTTGGAATAGTTCTTTTATTTTTCTTTTTTTATTATGTTAATCACCATACATTACATCATTAGTTTTTGATGTAGTGTTCCATGATTCATTGTTTGCGTTTATAACATAAACCCCCCTCCCCCCTTGGAATAGTTCTTTAGTAGTTATGCTACCTTGTAGATTACCTTTGAGGTTCACGTGTTTAATTTTATCTTTGATTTTTAAGGGTTACATTTTTTAATTTATGTTACAAAAAGCATTTTACATGGCTCTAAAGTCACACTTGTAAAAACATGGTATATTCAAAGAAGTGTAGCTCCTTTCTTACTCCATCCTGTTGCCTCCCTCCCTAATGTAAGTAACTGTTCCTTGTTAATTTTATAATATATTTTTTATATATGTAGGCAGATTCACATCTACGGGATAAGCAGTTTTTAATACCTGTGTCTTTATAATGATTGTTAATCTGTAAGGAGAAGCAATGACAACAAGAATAGGGGTTGAAGGCAGAGGAGAACCAGAAAATACCTGAATTCTCTGTAAATCTAGAAGGAAATTTGCCAGATGCTGAACCTTTTAATTTACAGGGCATAAAACTGATGGCGGTAAGTTACGGTAAGTTCCATGAGCTGAAGGGAAGTACACCTTTTCATAAAACTTTAGGATCTTTTTTTTTTTTTAAAGATTTTAATTTATTTATTTGACAGAGACACAGCGAGAGAGGGAACACAAGCAGGGGGAGAGGGAGAGGGAGAAGCAGACTCCCCGCTGAGCAGGGAGCCCGATGCGGAGCTCGAACCCAGGACCCTGGGATCATGACCTGAGCCGAAGGCAGACGCTTAACGACTGAGCCACCCAGGCGCCCCTAGGATCTTTTTTTTTAAGGGGTAGTTTCTGTAAGACGACTTCTAAAGATTTAAAAAGAAAGGTGGGGAGAAGGGTAACATCAACTATGCCACAGTCCATGAGAAAGAGGAGTAAGGTGTTATGATTGACTCCCTATTGTTTTATTCTACTTTGACATCTATAAACCTTCATCAGCAAAACATTACAGGCTTATGAGGTAGGTGCTGAACTTAAAAAGTGTGTATGAATGTGTGTATATGTATATAAACCATGTTCCTGTCCAAGGGCTTACATGAGAACATGAGCATAAAAAGTTGCTTGACAATTTTGCCTATGCTAAATGCTTACTGAGTGATACAGATACCAAGAGTTAACATATGGAGAAGTAAAATAAATGACAACAATTGGGATTAAAGACTAAGATGGAATTACACTGTTGTAAGTTTTTACATTATTTCTAAAGTGCTGTAATACTCAAGAGAGACTGTAATTAGTTAAGGTTCTCTACCACTTGAAAAATGAAAATGGATTACTAAGAATTAGTCTAACCCAAAAAAAGACAGGAAAGGGAGAATAAAGGATTGAAGAGACACAGAAAACTAACAGAAAGATGGTAGACTTGTGCCCAACCATATCAGTAATTTTGTTAAATGTCAATAGACTATATTTCCAATTAAATTTTAGTGTTGGATACTTCAGGCATGAACTGGAATTAATTGGTTAGCACATCCTCTCTTGAGCAGCATCTTTGCATTCTGCTTGGGCCCTATACCTTGGAGGTGAAGGATTTGCTTTTCTTAAACTGAAGTCTCTTACAGAAAAAGTTATATAACCATATAACCTGTGAGAAAACAACTCTAGTTACTGTAGGCATGAAAATAATTTGTGTGAAGAAAAAAATTCACACTTAAAGTAAGATGAGCTCATTTCCCAAATTAGACACGAACTGGAATTAGGGGTGAAAAGAAGATCGGTAGAGTGTGTGCTTTCAATTCTCATAACCTAGGAGTAAGTAAAAATGTGAATCCTATTTGTGTGCCAGACAGTATCCTTCATGTTTTAGTAGCATTCTCGCTTAATCCGCAAAATAATTCTAGGAAATAAGGGTGCCTGGATGGCTTGGTTGGTTGGGTGTCTGGCTCTTGGTTTTGGCTCAGGTCATGATTTTGTGGTCATGGATCAGGCACCACGTTGGGCTTTGCACTGGGTGCAGAGTCTGCTTCAGATTGTTGCTCCCTCTCCCTCCCTCCTTCTCTCTTAAATGAATAAATAAAATCTTTTAAAATAATAATTCTAGGAAATAGATGCTGTGATAATTCCCATTTTATTTATGAGGAAGCAAGCTCAAAGAGATGGTTACTTGCTCGGGGCCACACAGCTAGCAAGCAATAGAATTGGGGCTGGAAACCAGTGCATCTTACCCCAGATCCATGCTCATTCCCCTCCCCTCGCCCAGCCCCTCCCTCCCCCCAGCATTCTGGATATCTGGTCAGGCCTCGTGGGGTCACAGGGAAGAGAAGTTTATAGATAAACATAGCAATGTAGCTGAATTGGCAGAAGGGATCAGAGAGGGAGGAAAGATGGTCTTCCTTGAATGTGTGTGGAATACTTTGTTACGTGCAAAGGTATTAGCAGATAAGTTGGAAAACCCAAGTAGCTCACTGGTAGAAGTGGTCTCCAGTCTCCGATGGAGTGGCATATTTTATCACTAATACTGTTTAGAATTGCCAATAGCAAGTGGCAAGGATAAAAAGTAGATGTAGTCAAGTTTTGTTATTTTTAACTTCTCTATGGACTGCATCCCTTACTTGCTTTCATGGAATAGACTGTACCCATTTCCCTGCCTTTAGTGTACCCCTGCCAGTGGGGCAGCCTTCCCCTAGAGATGGCAGCTTTGCTGCATCTGGGATGTCTCCTTTAGCCGTGTAGAACAGCTGGAGCCTTCTGAGCCTATCCTGACTTACCAGGAAAGGCTTCTGGGTGGCCAGGAGGGGCACTTGGAGTTTTCTGGTGCCTTTTTGTAAAGACTGGCCAGAGGCTTGGGTGGGAATGTAAGGCACCACCTCTCACAAGGCTTATTTGCAGTGAGCATGGCCCCATGGCCCTGGGTTTGTGTAGGCCCCTGAGTTGATCTTAGTCCTGTATTAAGGATCAGAGAAATGATGCCTGGTCTCATACAGTCACCCACAAGGATTGTCTGGAAGCTGCACTTGTGTTACCTGCCCTCTGATGGCCCTGGAGTCTAGAACTTCCTCATTTTTAGTCCTCCAACTCTTCTAGACCTGTTGGCCACCGACGCCTTGAGGCAACCCCTTGTATTGAGTTGCCCCAGCCAGGGGTCAAGAGACTTCAGGGAGGTTGCAAAGGTGGTAACTCTAACTTTGGCACTGAGGTACAGTTACTCCACACTTACAGAAATGGCCCCATATTTTGCTCTCAGCTGTTGGGTCTTAATTTAGTGCCACCCAGCCAGGTTTTCCTAGTTCAAGAGTAATCCCATCTACCTTGCCAAGGTGATTTTCCAGTTTGAGCCAGTGAGGTCAAGGAGAAGTTTGCCCAAGACTCTTGAGAAAGGAGGGGCCTCATTTGTAGAAACCCAGAAGCAGCCATATTTCTAGTTTTTGGTAGCCTTGAGTACTGGCTGCCATCCTTGAACCATATGGGTCTACAGGCTTTGGAAGAGATACATGCTGCAGCCAGTAAAGCAGAGAACAGTATATACCTGGGCCCCGGGTGACATCCTTACACTACTGGATCTACCAACACAGAAGCCACCGTGACCTGAGAGCTGATCTGTTTTCTTTCTTTCCTTTTTTTTTTTTTTTGAGCAGCAGCAGCTGTCATTAATTGAGATCAAACACTATGAGCTGGACATGGTAGCAAGTAGTTTGCACAAAACTATGTGTACTCTTGCCAGAGAGGGCTCAAAGGCGAAGATTTCGTGTAACCAGAAAGTGTTGATAATATGTTTATTCTTTAACTTATAAACAACATTTACTTTGTCCTTCAAAAGTTAATTATAACTGGCAACAACAGCTTTTCTCAGACACTTCTCTCCTGTCCAAGAGAGGGGAAGAATTTAGCCCTTGATTAAGCCACCGCCCCGCCAGCATACACAGAGGGGGAGGAGGGGGTGACCTTAACTAGTAATAACATTCCACTGTTACATGATTGTACAAAACTTCCAAGCTGGCTGTTATACCAGAAGCTCTCTTCTAAAGGACGGAACAATAGCTCACGGCTTTATATTCACATTTTTGGAACAATGCTCCTGTTTCATTCATAGATACTCCCAGGCTCCTGCAGCACTAAGCCACCTTCTGTCATGGCACGCTGAAATCGTGTCATCGGGGCTGAGGCTGCCTCCCAAGGAGTGGATTGGTAGACCATGATGTTGATTCCTGCTTCTAAGCATCGCTCAGCCAGCACCCATCCTACAGTCTCACGGGCCACCACATTTTTGGTGCTGTAAAGGTGCTTTTTAATAGCCCATTCCCGAGTGGATGCTGAAACCACAACCTGGCCACTGCAATGCTCAACAAAGGCTTCTACATGATGCTGAGTCCTCATAACTCGCAACCTGTGCCAGAACTCATGGCAGGGCCATGCTGTCCCCAAGTCCGCTCTTCCATGACCACACCTGAGCTCCCAGATTGCGGGGGTTCTGGTTGGTGAGCTCTGGGGTGCATTTTCCACAGGGTTCACTTCAGGCTTTGCTGCTGGCTTGGAACTGGTTGAGAGTGCTGCGACCCCACACCCGGGGTTCCTGCAAACTGACAGCCACTCCCAGAACCCCGACTGGAGCGCCATCACTGAGGGATCGTTGGCAAAGCCTCGGAAAAACCTTGCCTCCTTTCCTCATCGGAGTCCCAGCTGCTTGCCGGCCACAGCCATGTTAACTCAGGGAAAAGCCTTTTCCTTAATTTTTTTTTTTTAAGATTTTATTTATTTATTTGAGAGCGAACATGAGTGGGGGTGGGGGTGCAGAGGGAGAGGGAGAAGCAGACTCCTTACTAAGCAGGGAGCCTTTATGCGGGACTTGATCCCAGGACCCCAGGACCATGACCTGAGCCAAAGGCAGATGCTTAACTGATTGAGCCACCCAGGCACCTCTCCTTAATGTTTTTAAGTCAGTTTCATCAGGGTTTTTCTTGAACTCATACAGCTTTGGATGTTGAGTTAGGGAGTTTGAACTTTATTCCATTGTCAGAAAATTTGCAGAAGTTTTAGAGATGAAATCCCCTGTTTAGTAAAGTCACATTTACAGATGCTGTCATCCACTTCAGTGCTGATGGAACAGAACAGGTTAATTTCCAGTTTATATATAATGTGATATTGCTGCTTTTCTTATTCATTTGTGGCCAATGTCCGATAGGCTCCTGCCCTTGCTAATCTTCCCAACCATGCTCCAAACATCCTCACACAGAATGCCTCTGTCGTGCCCCAGGGATAGCGCTAATCTGCTTCCTCTGTACTTCCACCTGATTGCTTAGGACCTCCACACTGACTAGGGTTTCCATACATTTTACTCTATTTTGTTGTTTTCTCAGCAGTAGAACCTTGGTGTTTGGGGGAACTTCAGAGGTTACCAAGGCCAGTCATTAAATGTTTGAAGATTCTCTGTGACATTCCCACTACTGGCTGTCCACTGAAGTAGTTCCAGGTCTTGGGGGTTTCTTCTGTGGCCAGTTCCATTTTTAGATAATTTTAGTTATTAAAGTTCTCTCCCTAAAATTCGGGTCTTAAAAACCCAATCCAAGAGAAAAGTTAAGAGCTCAGGGTCCTTCTGGTTAGAAACTGTCAAGATACTTTGTCCCACCAGATTCACTTTCCACTCTTTTCCATCCTGCTTTCTGCGCCAGGAGGCTAACCCATGTGGACCCCATCACTTCTCATTGGATTTGAACAGTTGAGCCAGAGCAGGATATGGAGCAGAGGAAGTGAGGTCAAGGTATTCCTCCTGGTTCCCTGCAGAATCGCCTCATTTTGGCTTTGATCCTCAACCAAAGATCAGTGTTTATATCAAGGTTGCATTCTTTATAAGACTCTCCTTCTGGGTTCCAGTAACTAATAACTACTGTTTCTAGTCCTTGTGTGCTGAACCACTGGTTGTCATTCTCCTATAGTCTGCCCACACCTTTATAAATAGTCCCTTTATTAAAATTAAGTATTCCTCAATTTACCTATCAGTGTGCTATCTATTTCTTATTGGGACCCAGACTGTTAGAATAATTGGTACTGTGAGTGTCTCTAGGAAACTGACCTTTGAAACCAGGCTAACACTAATTTAAAAAGGGGGAGGGGGACTGGCTATATTAATATCCGATAAATTAGACTTCAAAGCAAAGTGTATTACTAGAGACAATAAGGGACAATACATGATGATAAAAGGATCAATCCACCAAGAAGATAAAGCAGTCTTAAAGGTGTATGCATCAAACCACAAAGCTTCAAAATACATGAAGCAAAATCTGATAGAGCTAAAAGGAGAAATAGACAAATCCAGTTATAGTTGGGGACTTCAAATCCCCACTCTCACCAATTGGTTGATAGAGCTGCTAGAGAAAATCAGCAAGGATATAGAAGAACTGAACAACATAATCAAATCTAGGATAAGACTGACATTTATAGAATATCAAGCAATAGAATATACATTCTTATCAAGTACACATAGAACATACATGACTATAGGCCATAATCTGGGCTGTTTAATAACAAATATTGACACATTTAAAAGAATTGCAATCATACAGAACATGTTTTCTGACAATAATGGAATCAAGCTGGAAATCAACAGAATGACAATAGGAAAATCACCAAAAATTTGGAAAGTAACCAGCACACTTACAAATAATCCATGAGTAAAAGAAGTCTCATATATATAGAAATGAATGAAAATGAAAATGTTAAAATCTTTGAGATACAGCTAATAAAGTACTGAGAAAAATTTATAGCACTGTGTGCTTACATTATAAAGAAATAATCAAAGTAAGTTCATAGCTCAAGAAACAAAAAAGTAAAATAAGCCCAAAGCAATCAGCAGGAAATGATAAAGAGCAGAAATCAATGAAATTGAAAAGAGTAAAATGAGGGGAAAATTATACATAATTAAAAACAAAACATTGATAAACCTCTAGCAAGATTAACAAAAAGAAGACACAAAACTACTAATATCAGGAATGAAGCTATCACAACAGATCCTGCAGCTATTAAAAGAATACTATGAACAACTATGCTCAAATTTGACAACTTTTTAAGAATGGACAAATTTCTTGAAAATCAAAACCATTAAAACTAAGCCAAGATGAAGTAGAGAACCTGAATAATCCTAAAATGGAATTTGTAACAAAACGCAGTCTCTTCTGGAAAATAAAAAAATACTTCCCAACTCATTTTATGAATAATTTATTCCAGATATGCAAGGCTGGTTCAATATTGGAAATTTAATCAGTGTAATCCACCATATCATCATCAGGCTAAAGAAGGAAAAAACTGATATCAATTGATTCAACACCTAATCATGGTAAAAACTTTCAGTACACCAAAAATAGAGGGGAACTTCCTCAATCTCATAAAGAGGGTTTACAAAAAAAAAAAAAAAAAATCTATAGCTAGCATCATATGTTGAAAGACCAAATGCTTTCCCTCTGAGATTGGGAACAATAAAAGGATGTCCATTCTCACCGCTGCTATTCAACATAGTACGTCATGTTCTAGCACCCGAGAGGAAAAGAAGGCACACAGATTGGAAAGTAGAAATAAAACGTGGAGATGACATGATTGTCTACAGAGAAAACTCCAAGGAATCTATAACAGAACTCCTAGAACTAACAAATGAGCTCAGTAAGATACAAGATCAACAAAAGTTAATTGTACTTTCTATATACTGACAAACAAAATCCCAAAATTTTAAAAATGCAATACCATTTACAGTGGCTCCAAAGAATATCAGGTATAAATGTACAAATACATGTATAGGATTTAGGTAATGAAAATTAAAAAATATTGATGAAAGAAATTAAGGGAGACCTAAATAAGTAGAGAGATTTATTATGTTCATAGATTGAAAAATTCAACATTGTAAAGATCTTAATTCTCCACTAAATTGTCCTATAGGTTTTATGCAATCCTATCAAAATTTCAGCAGTATTTTTGTAGACATAGACAAGCTTATTCTAAAGTTTATATGGGAAAGAAAAAGCCCTAGAATAGCGGGAACAACTTTGAAAAAGAAGAATAAAGTCAGAGGAGTCAGTTTCCAATGTTAGGGCTTACTATATAGGTATAGTAATCAAGAAAATGTGATATTAGCAGGAGGAAAGACACATAGATGAATGGAACAAACCTGAAAATAGATCAACACAAATATACCCAATTAATTATTTACAAAGAAGCAAAGGCAATTCAATAGGAGTAACCTTTTCAATAAATGGTACTGGAGCACCATCAGCAGAACATTCATCAGAAAAAATGAACCTCAAGCTAAACTTTACACATATTAAAAACTCAAAAGGGATCATGGATTTAAATGAAAAACTTACATAAAATGTAAAATTATAAAACTTTTAGAAAAGAGCATCAGGAACAATCTTAAAAATCTAGCACTTGGCAAAAGTTCTTGGACTTGACACCAAAACCACAATCCACAAGAGGAAAAAATGGATTAAATGCATTTCATCAAAGTGAAAACTTGTTCTGCAAAATACCTAGTTAAAAGGATGGAAGGACAAATTATAGACTGGCAGAATATATTTACAAATCACCTACCCAACAAAAGTCTTATTCCTAGAATATATAAAGAAGTCTCAAAAACTTTTTAAAAAATCCAATTAGAAAATCAGCAGAAGACCTAAAACATTTCATGGAAGAAGACATACAGATCACAAACACATGAAAAGATGTTTAACATCATTAGCTGTTGGAGAAATGCAAATTAAAATCACAATGAGATATCATTACACAATTATCAGAATGGCTAAAATGAAAAATAGTGATAATACCAAATGCTGGCAAGGGTGCAGAGAAACTGAGTTACTCATATGTTGCTGATGGGAATGTAAAATGGCACAACCACTTTAGGAAACTGGTTGACAGATCCTTTCAAAAGTAAAAATGGACTTAACCATATGACCTGACACTTGCACTCGGACATTTATCCCAGAGAAATGAAGACTGATTTTTAAATAAGAATTGTACATGAATATTCATAGCAGCTTTATTTATAGTAGTCCCAAACTGGAAACTACCCAAATATCCTTCAATGGGTGAATGGTTAAACAAACTGTGGTACATAATACTATGAAATACTATTCAGCAATAAAAAAACTACTGATTCACACAATAATTGAGATGAAACTTGAAGAAATTATGCTAAGCAAAAAAAAAAAAAAGCCAATCAAAAAGATATGCATGCCGCATGATTCCATTTATGTAACATTCATGAAATAACAGTTACAAAGATGGAGAACCAATTAGTTATTGACGGATTGAGAACGGGAGGATGGGTGTAGGTATAAAGGGGTTAACAGGAAGGAGTCTTGTGGTAGCATGGTTGAGTATCTTGATCACGGTGGTGGTTGTGCAAGGCTACACAACAACATTGCATAGTGTGTATACATTCATAAATGAATGCACATATCAGTGGTGAAACTTTAAAAGCTTTATAGGTTATACCAATGCTATTTGTTGATTTTGATACAGTTCTATAGTTGTTTAAAATACTAACATGGGGGAATTAAGGGAAGGGTGTACAGGACTTCCCTATACATTCTTTGCAACATCCTGTGGATCTATAACTATTTCAAAATCAA